TGACAGCCCAGTATCTGCAGCCCACACTTCTCTTCCAACAGGAGTAATGCTGCTTTAAAAACTGTTTGAAAGCCTTTGGTAGGAGGAAGATTCAAGTTCCCCTAGGACAGGACTTCAGTTGGAAACCCAGGTCTCCCTGAAATCTCTAACCCGATTGGGTTCCTGAGGCTGAGCTCTGATGAGCCGAGAGAATTGGCCAAGGCCCACACACCTGCGGTGGGCTCCCAGGTTCCGGCGCTTGGCATCAGGCCCACGGACGCCAGGACAGCAGACCGGATCCCCTGCCTTTCATCCGCAGGGCCCAGCATCCCACAACCCCAGCGGAAGGAAGCGAGTGTTTTCCCCGAGCTCTGACCCAGAAGCTCCAAGTCAAGTTGCAAAAGTCACCAGCGTGGTCTGTTCTGTCTCCTCCCTTGTGAAATCAGGAACATTCCATGAGAGGGACTCTTCCCCTTCCTTGGATGTGGCCCAGCCCTATACTGTCCCAGGGGTCCCGCTCCCAAGCTGACAAGCCCCGTGACATGATGGGAAAGAACCCGACGCTGGGTCCACCAGCATAGCTCTCCCAGGAAAAGGGACTTTGTGCAAAGTGACAAAGAACAGGCTCCCACCTCCTTCCCACTGCCAGAGGAGCACCTGCCAGGTGGGCCATCAAGATAGCCGAAGGCTCCAGGGAACTGGAAACGCGCCGACGTCTGCCGGGGGAAGCAATCCTGAAGGGAGTAGGAAGCCGATGGAGCAGATGGAAAAAGAGTATTTTTATTCTCGGGAAAACTTCCACCCTCTCCATCTCCGGACGGTTCAAGCAAACTTACCTGGGAGGGGCCCGTTCTGGAGGGGGAGTCCCGAGGGGCAGGGCTGGCTAGAGTCGTCAAAGTCACAGAGACAGAAAGTAGGATGGTGGTGGCCAGGGCGGAGGGCAGGACCAATGGGGCTGCCCAGTGGGTACCGCGTTCCAGGTTTGTAAGATAGAAACAGTTCTGGAGATTGGCTGCGCAGCAGCGTGAATGTCCTCAACACTACTGAGCTGTGTGCAACAAAGGGTAGGAGCAAGTTGTACGTTATGTGTATTTCACCACGATTTAAAAAAAAAAAATGGGAAAGCTAAGTCCAAAGGTGAGTCCATTTTTTAATTTGAGTAGATACCGGGGAAGCGGCCCGGGGAAGGGCGGTACTGGCCTTGCTTCCACTGCGCTGCAGGGGTGCCCTTCCCCGGCCTCTCCCACACGGGCATTGTCCATCTTGTCCCCATCATGGTTTGGTAATGGCAAACGGGGACCGACAGAGGGCAGAAATTGACACTCAGCTTGCAGGGAACAGCAGGATGTTCATCTGCTCGGCCCCCCAGACCCTCAAGAGTGGCCAGGAAGTAACTTTGGGTTGCGGGTTGCGGGTGCAGACCTCCGCGCCGCCGCCTCCGGAACTCCAGAGTGCTCTCTTCCCCCATCCCACTCCCTAACCTTAAAACGATGACTCCAAATATCACAGACTGGCCTACATATTTCCCTGAAACAGCTGTCCTGCAGTCACCAAAACCGGGGTTAAAAATAGCCTGTCTCAATAGCCAGGGAACAAAGCCCTCTTAGAAATGCCCCCACCTCCATAAAGGGCACTCAAAACTGACCCAGCTTTGTCCCTGGGGCTTGTCATGGCTCGTGACCACCCCTCCCTGCTCTGGAAACAGATCACTGCTGAAATCTTGTCACATTCTTGGTCCATCTATGGAGGAGAGGCAGGGGGAGGGACAGTAATGATATTGCAGCCAACCTACAAGTTTCTGTCTCTATTTCCATCTTATAAACCCCCAGATGGGCTCAAAGACTTTTTTTTCCTATCGTCCACTTCTGAATGCCCCCCAGCAACACCCAAGTCAAGACTGCATCATTTGGCCTGGCCGGCCGGTCATGGCTCAGCAGTTGAGCGTCAACCTAGGATCCAGGAGGTCGCAGTTCAATCCCTGGTCAGGGCACATGCCCAGCTTGCGGGCTCGATCCCCATTTGGGGGTGTGCAGAAGGCAGCCGATCAATGACTCTCTCATCACTGATGTTTCTACAGTATCTCTCTTCCTCTCTCTGAAATCAATAAAGACATATTTAAAAAAAAAAGATTGCATCATTCAATCTCTTCATTATTTTTTGAAAAAATTTTCAGTACCAGTTGACATACAATATTATATTAGTTTCATATGTACAACATAGTGATTAGACATTTAACTTATGAAGTGGTCCCCTGATAAGTCTAGTACCCACCTGACCCCATACATAGTTATTATAATGTTGTTGGCTATATTTCCTGTGCTGTACTTTAAATCCTGGTGACTGTTTTCATAGCTGGCAATTTGTCTGTTTTAATCCCATCCCCCTTTTCACCCACTCCCCCAACCCCCCTCCCATCTGGCACCCATCAAAATGTTCTCTGTACCTATGAGTTTGTTTCTGTTTTGTTTGTTCACTTATTTTGTTCATTTGTTTTTCAAAGCCTTTAAATAACGTGTCTGAATTCCCAGTGTAAGAAGCTAAATCTCAATCGTGGCTCACTTCAAAGATACTGTGATGAAAGCACTGTTTCCCCAGGGCCACCCATCCCACCGAAAGATCCTGTTAGGTTTTCAGGCTGCACCATGGAGGGTAAGATCATGTGTTTTAAGCAGAGAACACAGAATTCTAAACAGGGTTAGAATTCTGCACCACCATGAGACAGGTTTCTAAACAGCCCACCTAAAGAGCACCTGCTACCTTGCTGATGGCTTCTCCCTCCCTCCCCCTTGGCGAGGGAGGAGACACATTTCCTCCCGCGGTGGGTAGGAGTGAGGATCAGCTGCCTGCTGGTGTGGGCAGACCCGTTTTCTCAACTGCGGGAAAGAATGCCAATATTTCGGGTTAAATGGGGAGGCTTCCCATGAACTCTTAGCCTCTGTGTCATTATGGGGTTGCTGGGTGGGGAGATGGCTCCTCAGGCCACCCACCTGACCTTACCCTCTCCAGCCAGAATCTCTGAAGCATATTTGGATTGACAACATCCAAAGTGAGTCACAATTGGTCCGTAAAGATATTTGTGGCAGTAAGGAGAAAAGTTACCCACTGTGCTGATTTACCCATCCTCTGGGTCATACACCTAAGGATGACCCCAGGGAAGGAGTTTCTGGCAATTACATGGCATTGATCCAGGAGCACATTCAAGGAATCCCAGCGCCAGGATTGGCCTGAGGGAGAAGGCCAGGGGGAAAGAGAGAGTGAGCTATGTTAGCTGTTGAGAAGATTCAGATGGTTATCATGGCTGGGGAATCGATGAATGCTGGAATCCAGCCCTGCAAGGACCCTGAAGGAGACAGATGCAGGAGGAGAAATGACCAAGAAAAGCAGCACAATGCTGCACCATGAGCTAAATACTGTGTCTCAAACTTGCAAAAACAGTACGAATCCATGCCCCCCTCCAGATCATATTCCAGTACCCAGGAGCCCCACCCCCCAAAAAACCCCAAGCTTCTTCCCTGGTAGTGTGCTGGGTCCAAGAGGTGGCCTAGGGTGGCTGTTTGGAGGGGAGGGGTATAGATACATAACGAGCTGGCATGGGAGGCTGGAGTGTCCATCCTCACACCAGGAAAGTCCTTCTTGGTGCAGGATGAAGCAAGGGGTGGGTGGGGCAAGAAGGGATGGGGGAGAGGTCTCTTGTTGTATCCATAGCCCAAACCCCACAAATGTCAGGGGCAGGCCTGCCCTCATGTGACAGCCGGCAGCGTTGGCTGTCAGTGTCCCAGGGGAATCAGGCCCAGGAGCTGAGTGGAGAGAACCTGTGACACTGGTCAGAGTAACTCCTCCTGCCCTGGCAACCAAGTCTCCACAGCTGGTGAAGCTATGCTGGCCAGTTAGACGACACGGTCTATAGGGGACGTGGCTAAGATGACCAATGGTTGTTTCCATGGGTGGGTTCTAGGATCCCCACCGGGCCAGGAAAACAGGTAAAGTGGCTGAAGCCCTTTCCTTCCAAAGGCAGACAGACAGTGGTCTTGGGGACCCCTGATATACCCCCATCCTGGGCTTCCAGGTAGGGCCTGAGACACAAAGTGCCCGCTACTGGCCTGGGCCTCAGGACTCGGTCATGGATGGGAATTACCGATTCTGCTGCTGAATTCCGTTCTCCGCCCAGGCTCCACACCCACACTCCAAGGACCCTCACGAGTTGAAGAATGTATTCCTGGGAGCAGCTCTCTCCAGGCAGCTCTCCAGACAGTGCTGACATAGAAGGTAGCAGGACCTTCTAGTCCTGAGCCTCCTGGGACCTGAAGCTTCGGACCAGAGGACGCTTTCCTACCTTAGATCCAGCTGGCCTGCTCACCCAGCACAATCGAGTGACATTGGGATCACACAACCAATACCCAAGGGCGTTCAAACCCATGGCAACAGCCTACAGAAGCCCTCTGCACCAGGGCATGAAGGGACCTCAGACCATTCATTTCCCAAAGGGGAAACTGAGGCCCACCTGGGTTATGCCAATGCTGCTGCGTCCCCATGCAATCCACTGTCCATCATGCCACTGTTCCCAGTCTCCATCTCTCTCCCACATGGGATCATGAGACCCCAGGGTATGGCCGAGTCTAGGCACCCCGGGAGTGCTGATGGATCTGACTCGCCCCAGGTGACACAGCTCGTCAGGGGAAGGACAAGGATTTGATGCCAGGTCCCCCGCCTCCCAGGGCGATGCTCTTGTTAGGGGGCTGTTAGGGGGGCTCCCTACTGACAGCTGAAAAAGCTACAGAGTCCACCCCGCACTCAGAGCATCCACACAGGAAAGAATTTGCACAGGGAGGCCCTCGAGAGACACTGCAACCAGCTGTGAGGGCCGGGCTGTGCTTTCTCCCTCTGTCCCTGCCTGGATTTCGGGAGGCACAGAAAGCTCCGCCCTGGTCAGCATCAACCAGCTGACCAGAAAGAGCCAGCCCAAGATTTACCCCTTTACTCTCGGAGTGGAGACTGGAAACAAACAAGTGGACGGCAGCATGTAAGAGAAATGATTACAGTTTATAAAAAATGTGATAATACAGCAAGATTTGATTGGGGTTTTTTTTCCTGGCAAATGAGGTTTATAAAAAACACCTGGAATAAAAATTAGAAACATAACTAATAAAAATCAGAAACAAACATTTTGAGGAAATAGAGTCATTTAGAAAGACAGTGAAAACAGTGAGCAGCAGAAGCAGCAGCAACGGGAGAGAAAGCTGGTTCTGCTGAGATGACAAAACAAGGGGACCGAGTGGAACCTGCTCTTTCGCTCCAGGCTGGCCCGAGGGGCTGGGGAAACGATGGGCAGTGACCGCGAGAGAGGCATGAAGGTTCGCTGAGGGGACCCTGCTGATGGCCGCTGGCCCGGAGAGGCGGGGGAGAAAGCGATGCCTCCTGCACACAGACCCACCCCACCCTCCTCTTACAGGGCCCCACCCGTGGGCAGTGATTCCCAGCCATGTCCCCAGGACTGGACTGTATGACCAGCCTCCTCCTCTGTCCACCTGTCCCTAACCTGCGTCGCTACAGGTCCCTGTCCCACCGTGGTGAGCTCAGTGGGAGACAACTCACCGGAATGTCAACCTAAGCTAGGATGACAAACTCGCCAGGGAGAACCAAGGAAACTAGACATACAAGGCTACATACAAAACACTTTCCAAAATGTCTGTGCCGCAGCCGAGGCAGAGGGAGGGCCCCCTTGGCAAGGCAGGCCGGGAAGCCCCAGCAAAACCCCCAGCCTGTCCTTCTAGGGGAAGGTCCTACAGCTGGCGGCTGGTGGCCCAAAGGACGCTGGGGACATCCCTGACTACATTCTGAGGTAGTCTAACCGTGACTTGCACAGGTAGCTGAGCATGGGGGGCGAGGGGGGGAGGAAGGGGGGCAGAAAAGTTGCCACAGAGAGAAAAGGTTAATGTATATAAGGAAACAAACTGTGCTACAAGTAGGCTTAGAGATGACCAGACTGTGGCTCGGGATCAGGCAGGGGAGGCGGCAGGGCCCACACAGACGCGGGCGCACACAGCTCTTGTTGCAGCCATGTGGAAGGAGATGAGGGAATCCCTGGGGGGGATTTCCTGGCCCAGGGCAGCAACAAACTCTGAGGTGAGGGGGTCCCTCCTACTGACTCAGGTCGTGATGGTTTTGAGTCAGAGACCTTGGGGGCTTTGGGGTGAAGAGTCCCCAGGTTCCCTTCAGGAGGACTCCTCTCATCTAATGAGTTTTAGGGGAAATAACTGCTAAACTTGAGCTGGGAAAGCACTAGAGGTCCCCGCGCTGAGGGAGCAGTCAGACCCTAAGCCACATGGCAGAAAGCAAAGAGGCTGCTAGGCTCCCCTACTTCTTTATGCTAACTGACAGTCTTTCCTCTCTGCCCCAGCACTCAGACTTCCAAGTCAGGACGGAATGTTCCGAAGGTTCAGACAGCAGCAGCTGTGTGGATCTTAGTATTTTCTCTGCTTTGCATATTTCCGCGGACGCCTTCTAGGACGGAGCTCACCAAAGTCCTCAACTTCATTTTCATAATCATCTTCCTGAATGATTCCTATTTAACAAGCAAACAAACAAAGAAACAACGTGCAGAATGGTGATTTTTTTCCCCACTCCGGTTCAAAATATAACACCCTAGCAAAACCTCATGTCTCTGTAATTGTTGTCGTAATTTAAAGGGAAAACGGCCTTCCACCAGGGTTCCAGAGAGTAAGGATGTATCCTGGAGCACTGATATTGCTCTCCAGGATAAGCCAAAGCCCAAGGAAGCCCTAGTCTCTAGAATTAAGCTCTCTTACAGGCTGGCTCCTCTGGCCTTATTTTAGAGGCCACTGAATGAAAGAAATCAAACAAAAGCTAAACTCAACCAGACTTGAGTCGATACGTCAGTTACCCTCCTTTTGAAACAATAACAAAAATCATAGTCCCAGATTTTTTTATTGGCACAGACATTTGTGCCAAGTCCCCTCAAGTTTTCCCCAGCTCTGAAGTCTGGATTAAAATGACTCACAGAAGGGCAACCTGAGACAGGTGAAATACTCAGAGCAAGAAGAAATGTGAGCAGGTGGGGAGGGGGCAGCAGTTGGGATGGGCAAGAGAGAAGACTTTGCAGATCAAACAGAATTTGGCAAGATAATTCTTACTGTCAGGAGAGAAACCTGACTCATCCAACACAGGCCTTACTGCTCTGAGAAGACGCATGCAAGCTGCCCCAATGATTTTGTTTGTTTTATATCCCCAAGCCCAGGACACTAGTGACACATACTAAACACTCATTAATAATCATTAGCCTACATAAAAACATATTTATTAAGGAATGGCTTTGCAATACTTTGTGTATCCCCAGGAGTCACTGTTCTGAGCATGAGTAGTGGCCGAACATTATGGATAATAGCTTTTGAGTGGCAAGAGGTTTATGAGAAAGCAACTAACATGGGCCCAGAATAACACCCTCACAGTCCGATGGAGAAACTCAGATACTATGTGACTAATAATCTGACTCGGGGCAATGCTCCTAGACAAAGAGTGGCCAATGCTGACATCATAGGCAGCCCTGCAGCAGACTGACCTGAAAGTCAGCAGAACCAAGAACCACGGGGCCCAGAGCACTATCCTAGGGTAAAGGGCTCCTTACCTTCCTCCTTCAAGTGCAGCTCTGTTTTCCTTAGCCACTCCCTCGCATCCTTGACTGACAGGCTCAGGATGTTGACCAGCTGAGTCATCACCTCCCCAGCTGTGGGAACCAAAGAACAGGGCTCTGAGCGAAGGGGCCGCTGTAGGGCCTCGAACACCCACTACCAGAACCAAAGACCCCAAGAGTTTGTCTCTGTGCTTTAGCTGAGGAAAACAACAGACAAGGACCCACAGCCACCAGAAGCATAAACTGCCATTAAATCCCAGCCTGCCGCCATAGCTGTGTGTCTACAGACTGCCAACAGCAAGCCTTTAAGGAAGCTTTGTTCAAAGTGTCATTACACCTTAAACTGCAGTGTCTGAGTTACAGAATGATTCTAAAATATGCAATTTCACTAATCTTATACATAAAAGAACTTCTACCCCGTGTTGCTGAGAAGTAGCTAACAAGGGAGTTAGAGGAAATCTGATTCAGAGACCACGTTAGAATTCTTATCGTGGCCCGGCCGGGCGTGGCTCAGCGGTTGAGCGTCGACCTAGGATCCAGGCGATCAGGGTTCGATTCCCGGTCAGGACACATGCCAGGTCATGGGCTCGACCAATGACTCTCTCATCATTGATGTTTCTGTCTCTCTCTCTCCCTCTCCTTTCCTCTCTCTAAAATCAATAAAGATATATTTAAAAAAAAAAAAAAGAATTCTTATCGTGAACCCTGGCCAGTGTTCTCAGTGGTTAAGGCATCAGCCTGCCCACAGAAGGGCTGAGGGGTGCCTGGGCTGCAGGTTCAATCCCTGGCCCCAGTGGGGGTGAGAGAGGGAGACATTCAATCAGTGTGTCCCTCTCACATCGATGTTTCTCTCTCTCCCTTCCACTCTCTCTAAAAATCAATGGAAAAAATATCCTCGGATGAAGAGTAACAACAAAAAAGAATTCTTATCCTGAAAGCTCACACTGGGTGTGGTTTAAGGACGCTCCAAAAAGGAAGCGACCACTATGCACCTCCAGATCTTAGTACAGAGCAGGTGCTCAAGAAGTGATCACTGAACGAATGAACCAGAAGCTTAAAGAGTTTCCTGAGGACTTTAAACATTTCCCTATATCGTCTTCACAGAACTATTCAACAAGGCCAACTATAGTGCCAGGGGAACCATCCTGGCCCAAGATAATCAGAAAGTTTTAACTGGGGAAAGGATGGTCCAAACCATGGGGTTTTGCTCTAGCTTGAGAACACACAGTTCTCACTTGTATTTCTGCAAACGCCAAGCTCCATCATTCCAGGTCAGACCTCAACGCAAAGGGCTTGGCTCTGATGTGTGTTCTCAAAGCCCAGTTCTACCACCACCTGGGCCCCATTTCCGAGGGTCCCTTACCGCGGGCCCAGGCCTTCTGCCTGTAGAGGTCCTCCACCACGTCTGAAACTCTCCTGATGTTCTCCTGGACCTTCCTCTGCAGCATGTGGCTGTGCTCCTTGGAGCCCAGGTGACTGCGAATCAACACGCTCTGCTCGATGTCCTGCACCACCTGCTTGCCTTCGTGAACAGCCGGGTCCACCCTTTCTCGGAAAAATTCCGAGTATCTCTGGTAGGCCACCTGCTGCCTCTGGTGGCCTTCGAGGAGGATGTGGTGCTCATAAGACTCGCTATTCCTCTCTGGACCTTCCTTGTCATCCAGCTCAGCCTCGGAAAGGGCCACCGCCTCGGAAGTCTCTCCTTCAAAGGCATTACTGGGGCTGAAGTAGCTCTCAGGGCCCCTGGTGAATTTCACTCCGCACAGGTCACACTGGGTCCTGTCAATGTCTGCCTTTTTGAAGATGCCAGGCCCGGGCTCCCTGGTGTCCTCCCTGGAGCCCTCCGTGTGGGCACCCACCCTTCTCTTCCAGCTGACACACAGGGCCACCACCAGGCATGCTCTCTTCAACTTCCGCTGGATGGAAGCCTTCCGCTGCTTCTGGGACAGGATGGTGGCCAGGAGGTGGTCTCGGTCTTCTAACGCCAGCTCATCCGTCTCATCGTGACCAAACTCACACTCCGGTTCAGCGAAGCAGTCCACGGGGCCCAGGCAGAGCAGGCGGTTTAGCTTGACCTCCTCGTGGTAGAGGCCGCGGACCATGACCCCTTTGGTGTGCGTGCTGTCCCACCGCCAGTGGCAGTCCATCAGGTACTCTTCGTCCCGCTCAAAGAGCAGGTTCTGCAGCGCCTCAGCCACAGACTTCACATCGACCGCCACCAAGACCCGCCTTACCACGTTCCGCAGCCTCTCGGGTACCTGGCCCGGGTGGTCCGTGCTCATCAGCTGCAGCCTCTCGTCAACCTCCTGGAAGTGGCAGCACAGGAGCGACTTGCAGATGGGCTGCAGAACCACCTCGGCGTTCACCAGCATCACCAGGCACAGCACCAGGGTCCGCTCGGCCTCCCCGGAGACCACACAGTCCATGTCACTGAAGGCATCGAGCAGGACGTTGAAGTTCTCATTCTCGTAGCCGCAGAGCACCTTGACGAGGTAGGAGAGGTGGAACCGGAAATCCTGGATGGCTCTTGTCACGTCCTTCGGTTTGTATTCCTGAATGATGGAGAACACGTCCCCAAGCTCCTTGTCCTTCTTGCTGAACAGAAACTCCCAGTAGTGCACGAGCGAGATGTAGCTTTTGGGAAGGCACAGGATGGTGCTCTTCCGCAGGCGGGCCAGGACCATCCCGCAGTGGACGAACTGGGACTCCAGCAGGGCCACCGTGTTCCCAATGCTGGGGATGAGCGGCTCTTTGCACCTCTTGACAAGGACATTCATGAACCGGAAAAAGAACCTCTTGTAGTTTTCCGGGTTCCTGTGCACATAGAGCTGGTCGATGCAGCTCTCCAGCAGCCGGATGAAGCACAGGTGGATCTTCTCGGCGCTCTCCTCACCCTTGTTGGGCGCCAGCATGCCGAACTTCCCCTCTATTCCTTTCGCCCTGCTGCCCCTCGCCCTGCCCCGTTCCTCCTTCTCAGATGCTAGAGCTTTGAGCTCCCTGTGGTAGTCGTCCTCCTCCTGATGGAGCAGCTTTCCAAACTCCTCCGGGTAGCTGGAGGACAGGAGGAAGGCCTGCATGGCACTCAGCCACAGGTCGGTGGACTCCCGGCGGCTTCGCGCCCGTTCGTTTTGAAACAGAAAATAGACATAGTCTTTCAGAGCGAACCTGTAGGATCGTAAGGATTTGTAATTGGGTTTGAGGATTTCTTTGCATGCCATGGGGTTTTCGGACAATACTCGCTGATGGAAATGCTTAGGGAAGGCTACATTCACGAAGGATGTGCAATGGCGATACATATCTGGAGACAAAATACAATCAATTCTTTTAAGTTCTTCAGCTAAGATTTTAGGGAATACTTTTTTGGCTTCCAAAAGCAACCCATTGATTGCCACCTGGTACATTTTTGACTGAACCAAACACTTGGCCTCACAACGCCGCAAAGGCCTGTGGTAGTCTTTACAGTTTTCATCCTCACATTTTAAGCCAACAATAAACCTCATGCAGATGCCCGGGTAGGTCTTCCCAAGCAGGCTCTGCGTGATCTGACACAGCCTGTTCAAGAGGTGTTTGTTTAGGGCCAGTTTTACTTGGTCAGTCATTATCAAGAAGTGGTCTTTTGTTTTCTTCTCTCTCAAGTTCAAATCCAGTTCAAAAATTATTTTTAATATAGGGCCAGGGTCATTCTGAGCTATCTGGCAATACTTGGCATCTACTTGAGAAACCCCAAAAAACTCAAAGCAAGACTTGACCATGTCCTTCTCAGCATTGTTGGTCACTCTTTTGAGGGCCCTGACCAGATTGAGGAGGACTTCCAAGCCCCCTGGAACCAGGGCCAGAACCTTCTGAGGGTCAGCCTCATAGTGGCTGGTGGCTTCATAGAGCACTTCCACGACGCCGGCTGGGTGGTTGAGGGTGTCAAACTTGAAGAAAGCATCCTTGAGCTTCTGAAAGTCTTTCAGGATCACCCCCAGTAGGAACTGGGCCTCAGCGATGCCAAACAGCTGGTTGGTTTGATAGCAGAGATCGAGGGCTTTTCTCAGAATGGCCTTGGTGTGTTCTATGTCTGAATCCATGGCCACATTGAGGCGGGCAACCTCCAGCAGACACGAGGCCTGGAAGCCTTTGTCAGCAGTGAGCCTGGCGGCCTCCAGGAGGAAGCCATGTTGCTTCATCAGCAAGGCAGCCTCTTCTCTCCGGCCTTCCCTGTTCAACAGCTCTGCAGCCTCTGCTAGCCGTTTCCGAGACTTCAGGAACATCAGCTGGTCGTCTGTGTCCAGCTTCGAGAGGACAGCCATCATCTCCTTGATCTTATTTGCATTCAGGTACTTGGCTGCAGCTTCCAAGTAAAACTGACTGGCGGAATAGGAGAGCTTGGATACCGGTAGGGTCTTGGCCCTTAGCATTTCTTCATACCTGCAATGACAAATGACCCAAATAAGAACTCATTACCACCCAACCAATGGAAAACCTCCTCCAAAATAGAGCACAGAGCAACTTAAATAAAATTGCCGTATGTAGATATAAATGACAAAATAGGACCTCAACATATTCAGCTTCTTTAGAAATGCTTATTCTACAATGATAAAATATAGTAGAGCTACAACCTAATCAAGTGAGAGTAAGTTTGAAAGTCAGTCTCTAGGGCAAAAATTATGCACAGTCAAAATTACCCCTTAAACTTTCATAAAGCATGCTAACTCTTCTGGGTATGCAACCCCGCTCAGTTAGTTATGTGCTTACAGAGAGTACGAAGGCGGGGGCCCACACCTATGATTGCAGTAGTCTTTCTAGGTTCCTTGCTTTTCCTAGATTTCTTATCAACCTTTAACCCCACCCATCTCCACTTTCCCTCTGGAATATCAACCAGGCTAAAGGCTCAACGGAGCCTCCACTGGGTCACATATGAAATGTTTGTGTCCTACAGCTGAGGGTGTGTGCACATACATATCATACACATATTTATAAGTACATGGCTGAGCATCTACCAGTAGATCACAACGAAGCAAAATCCTGACTGCCCATACTAGTGCTCTCACCTCTAGCCACATCAATGAAACTGTCATCTCAGTAGGTAAAGGTAAGAAGACAGAACCATCATTAAACACAAAATTGCTGTGCATTTTATATACACACTTGTAATGTCTTCTTCAGCCCCTTCTCTTCATGACCCTGTGTCAAAGCTTATAAAGAGCATGGACGCCTGGCCAGTATGACTCAGTGGTTGAGCATCAACCCAGGAACCAAGAGGTGGCTAATTCAATTCCCACTTAGGGCATGTGCTAGGGTTTCGGGCTCAATCCCCAGTAGGGGGCATGCAGGAGGCAGCCAACCGAAGATGTTTCTCTCTCATCAATATTTATATCTCTCTCTCCCTTTCCCTTCCTCTCTCCAAAAATCAATAAAAACAGATTAAAAAATAAAATAAAATGTTTTAAAAAAAAAAAAAAGCACGGAGAACACAGGGTTCTGCTCTGAGAGCTCTTGACCCAGCATAGAGGCCACCACTCAAGTAGAAGAAGGGTGACATGGCCAGGCCACTGTGGAGAACAGGGCAACATCACCCAGGGCAGGCTGCCCCAGAAAGCAGGGGGTGGGCAGGGAGAGAATAAAACCACCTACTTTTCCACTGCAACAGCTGCTTCTTCATAGAGCTCCTCTTGACAGTACATTTTGAGAGCTAGATCAAATTCCTGAATTTGCTCAAAGCATCTGAAAGCATCTTGGTAGCACTGGCTTCGCTTGTAGAAATAGGCGGCATCTTTTATCTAAGACAAAGCAAAATTTTCCCCTTTGAGTATCCAGAACATAACTTTTTACCTTAAAAGGAAACTAAACACCTTGAATAATAAAGAGGATGGACACATGTCTTGCTATTTGTTAGAATCAAGTGAAAAACACCGAAACACAGGTAATGTGAGGAACACTAATTCTTTAGAGGGAGAAAAACAAAGTTAGATCCCAACCTCACACCATACACCACACACAAACTGAAGCTCCAGATGGGTTAAAGCTCTAAATGTGAAAGCTATTGGGAAGAAATGTATGAGACTATCTTTTGTGACTTGAGAGGTAAAGAAGGTCTTCAACAAAACCCAAAACACACACTTCAGGGGAGAAACTGATGGATTTGATTACATCAAAACTGTTGAAAATGGGCATGTGAAACACAGTTAACAAAGAGAAAACAAACACTGACATCTAGATAAGCACTGTCCAATCGACTTTTCTGTGAAGATAGAAAAGTCCCATATCTACAAATTCCAACATGGCAGCCACTCGCCATGTGTGAATTGTGAGCACATGAAATGTGAGCAGAGCAACTGAGGAATTGATTTCATTTAATTTTAATTAATTTTAATTGCCACATGGGGCTAGTGGCTACTGAACTAGAATAGGCAGGTCTAGAACATAAAATGGAGTCCTGCAACCACACACACAAAAAAAGGCTTTCCTGAAAACACAACAGAAAACTAGGTCAAGGATATAAACTGGCAGTTCACAGTGGGGGAAACTTAACAAATGAAGATGCTCAGCCTCACTTATAATCAGAGAAATGCAAATTAAAACCACAGTGAGATCCATCCATCAGGTTTGCAAAAAACAGAAAATCAGTACCCACTGAATGTGGTCAAGAATGTGGGGCACAAGGAATCTTTGGGCACAAAGTGGCATGAACTATTCTGGAAAGTTAACACCTTCACTTAGTGATATTAAGTATATGTGGACCCTGGAGCCAGCAAGTCCATTTCTAGCACCATACCTCCCGGTCCCACACAGAACTGGAGGAGACATGCTGTGTCACAGTACTATGTGTGGCAGCCAGAAGTGGGTGGCCACTTGGAAGTCTACCCACCACTAGGGAAATGGGTAAGGAATACAGGAGATGCCCACTGTGGAATACTATGAGCAATCAGAAACCTGGCCAGACATAACACTATAGCAGGAGGTGAAAAAAATTAAAAACAGTAAGATGCTATTTAATAAGCTTAAAATACATATGCAGAGAAAATACTACTATTTATCCTTCTGTCACAGATGCACATGGGGACATACAGCAAATGCATGGGGATGGCTGCCAATGAGAAGAGAACAGGAATGGAGAGGGGCTGTGAAGGGGAAGAGCATGAACAAAATGAAGTGCAATGAGGGCGGCCCTGTGCTATGTTCACTGGTGAGTTTGCCACGAAGAGAAGAGTATATTCCATTCCTCTTCCTCTCATACTTCCCGTCCAGCCCATCGGTTAATCCTGTCTGCTTAGCTCTCCCGTTGTTTCCTAGATATGACCCCTTCCCACCACCCCCATCACCATCGTGGCAATCCACGCCACGTGTCTCAGCCTCAACCACCACTAGGCTCTTTTGACATGTCTGCTTCTACTCTTCCTGCCTACAAACCTCTTGACAGAGCATCCAAATAATTAGCTTCATGTCACTACTCCAATCCAAACTTCCCCCTGGCTCCCCACCACACTTGAACAAAGTCCAGTCCCCTATCATGGACTCTGAGGCCCTCCATGTTTTGTTCTTGCCCCCCTCTCTTGCTCATTTCACCATTTCTACCCCACTTGCTCTGCTCCAGCCAAACGGCTTCCTGCTGTTCTTTGAACTCGCCCACATGCTCCCACCTCAAAGCCTTTTGCCTGCAGGGATCCCTGGCCTGCTCTGCCCTCTAGCATCTGTTCTCACAGTCTCTGCTCAAAAGTCAGCCCCCCAACGCCCCCTGTCTAAAACTGCAACCCTAACACCCTCTCTCCTCTCACCTAGCCCTCATCACCGCTGACATCTTACACACCACTGGCTTATCTATCATCTCTCTCACACCAGCAAGGGAAGCTCTGCAGGGGCAGAGCCCCTGCTTTGCTGCCTGCTGCTTGCTGAGCACCTACAGTGCCTGGCACACAGCACGGGTCCATGGATTTGTTGAATATTTAGCTTCATAGCTCTACTTGCTGCACCTGAGGTCTGAAGAGAAAACAAAATCAAAATGAAACAAAATACAGATGCCAGGCCCTCTAATAAATCTCCGCTGGGTTTTATTTAACAAGACAAGCTCCCTGAAGGGCCAAAATATACACAAGATTCGGGTGTGACGGTGTTCTGTGTCCAGAGACCCCAGACCAGGGAGCTCTTAGGCCCGTCTTGCAACATCGATAAACCCCACATCCAGTACATCTAACCACCCTGCCTCCTTGCCACCACCGTCCAGAGCAAGGGCTCGGAGAGGTTTCCAGGGAAACCAGTGTTGCTCTCTGGAGAGAAGCAGGAAGGGTCCAGGCAGAGGAATCCCTGAAGGAAACCTTCCACAACTATACCTCTCACAAGCATTTCTTCCCAGGGGCAGCACCTGGGTGGGGGCTGGGAGAAGGGAAGCGATGTGGCTGAAGGGTTCTCACAAAGGCTGCTGCCAAGCTGCTCAATTTGAGTTGGGCTGGTTGTTAGGGGAGATGACCTCAAGAGGCCTGAAGCTGGCTGAGGGTCGAATCCCCTTCCAGGAAGGGGCCTGAGCCCAAAAAATAGGGGGGAGACCAGACTTCCCTGGCGGTGGCGGGCTTGTAGCTGCTAAATATGCTGATCAAGCCTGTGAAGATGGAAGGAAAGGGGGAGGCTGTGCCTCTGGGAGCAGGGTGGCCTCCACACAATGAAGGCACTGAAGTCCTGGAGAAGGGAACCTGGGCTCTGCTTATGGCCTCCTGGGCCCATCACCCCACCCACTTTCAGAAGCAGAGCTTGGCAGGCTGGGGAAGGCAAGGTGAACTGATAGGAAGGGGGCTCCGGCCCATTCATGACAGGCACTGGTAGGCAAAAAGGGGAAAGCAGTAGGCTTAGGCCTGTAATTGTCACTGCTTAGGGTCCAGTGGTGACATTAGAGATTGGAAGGCGGGGCATTAAGGAGCATGGAAAGGTTGGAAACTTCTAGTTTCTGGAATCTTAGGACCCAAAACTTCCAGCCACACTGAAATCCCTATTCCACCCCCACCTCCCACATCCTAAGAAGGCCCATCCCATAATAAACACGGGGCAGGGCAGACAGCATCAGGGCCACACTTCAAACTTCCCAGTAGGTCCCACCCCCACCCCACCCAATGCCTGGCGTGGTCTGAGGATCCAGGAGTTGCTACATTTCACGTGCAGACATGGAAACCCACCTCTCTACTGAAGGGTCATAAAGCCCATGAGGGCAAATGCACTAGCCGCAGCTGGATGCTGCAGAGCACAGCCTCTCAGACCACCTGTGGTGAGAGACCCAATGGTTTTACACGTCCAGTCCATTGCCACTGATACATTAAAACAAACAGCGTAATGTCCAGCATGGTGACTACGGTCAATAATGCTAACCACTCTGTGTGAGCTGCTGTACTCTAGACCAGCATCACTGTCCAGCAGAGCTTCCTGCGATGATGGAAATGTTCTATAACATTGTGGCTAGTGAAGCTAAGGAAATGATTTTTAATTTTCTCACATTCTAATTAACTTAAATTTTAAATTAAATAGACACATGTGGCTAGTGGCTGCCAGAATGGTCGGTGCCGATCTAGAGCAATCACAGGGAGCAGAGAAAAACTGCCATGCAAATACCACGCCATTCACCCGGGCAGATCCAGACTGTGAACACAGGGAAAAAGAAGGAAGGAATATTTTAAAGCCTGTCTTCCCTTTGATTTGAACATATGGCCTCCCCATGGTTAATATCAGGTCTCAAACATTCACACAGACATAGACATGAACACACACACACACACACACACACACACCCCACATGTCCTTGGAGCCCTCTAAACACTTGTGCAAGTGGAGAAAGGACTACCCTAGAGTTGACAGAGCCAACCTCTCCCTCTTTGGAGGACTGGAGCCCCCTCCTGAAGCAGCAGAGGCAGCCCTCCTACCCCTCAATCTGCCTAAGGGGATCCCAGTTCTCCCAGGAGCAGTCGTGGGCCGGGCTGTACCTTCCCCAGCCTCTCACACAGCTGAGCGGAGAGCTGGAACTCCTTGGCGTAGCTCAGACACTTAAGGGACAGCTTTGGCTCATTGCATTCCAAATAGGTCTTAGCCAGTTCCAAGTACTCCACCTGCTTTTCCCTGGGAGGGGAAAAACAAAACAAAGTTTCCATGGGATGTTGACCTAACACCAATATATTTACCTACTGAGCTCATCAGAACAAACCCAAAATGACTTAAGACTTACTTGGGGCTGACTTTCTTGGATTTCATGTTGAGGGCGGTGTTGTGGGCCAGCGCAAGTTTCTCCTTCTCATACGCACCTCCTTTTTGGTAACATTTGGCTGCAACCTGGAAAAGGCAAAAGGTTTTGATTCCCGGAAAGGTAATGGAGGTGACCAGAGTTAGAGCATGCATTCTGTGTCTGCACTGACAAAACAGTGAGTCTCATCCCAGCCCAACCTGAGAGGGAGAAGCAAGAAGGTGCTGGTGAGCTAAAGGAAACGGCCTCCAAGGATAAAGCCCAAAAGTGTTACCAGCTAACAGTTCACACTCAAAGGTTCCTTCTGGCAGTACCCAGAACCATGGAAAGGGTACATAGTTTATATCTTTACAGGCCACCATAATAACACCCTTGGTTAATCTTCCAACAGCCATGCATGAGAAGTTACAGCCTTCTCTTGTATAGAGCAGCAACTTCAGGTAAGAGACACAGAGTGATTGGCCCAAGGGCACCCAGTACCCAGTGGCTTTTCTGGATTCAACACAGGTTCTCTCCTGGTGTTAACTACAATGGCTAACTGTTGGCGGAACAGCCTCAGTGCACCTACTGGGGGTAGAAGTGGAGATAGAAACATTATCACAACAAATCCCAGAAGATAACTAAGCAGATCCTTGGGACATGCAGATCTGTGTAAACCAAACAGAAGGTGGGCAACAAGTGTCACAAGGAAGTCAGCCTGCACCCCAATCCCTGCCAGCAAAAAGCTGCTTTCTCAAACAGGAATGCTGCCACCATGTCTCCACGCACAGGTTACAGGGGCAGAAAGTTCACATTGTGTCCAGTAGGTAGACTGGGTCTCAGTGTAGGCAAGGGAAGGGTTAAGTGGCACTTGCTGATAAGATGGACAGGATGTCATCTCTTCTCCTCAGGCTCTTTGCTGCAGCCTCCCCAGCCTCATGGGCCTCCTTTCATTCCTGTGATCTGTGCCATGCCCCTTCCTACCACAGGGCCTTTGCACATACTGTTCCTCTGATTGAAATGTTCTTCCATCCCTTCTCTGCCTGGTTAACTTCATTCATCCCATAGGTCTCAGCTCAACATTCCCTTACTCAAAGCAGCCTTCCCTGTCCAGGACAAGTGGTTCTAGGGGCAGCTGGTCTCTCATGTACGACATCTGCAACAGCTGGGACAGTGAGCTCTTCAATATGCCTGCCTCACTCACCATCATATCCCCACAACCTAAACACAATGCTGGCTAAGAAGAATCTATTGAATGAAGAAATCTCAGGCAGTTTTCATTTCTGAAACATTCACTGACATGCAGCCAGAAACTCAATAAACCACCTGAGTCCTGCAGTCCTTTAGCGGAATCGAAATAACCTTTGCATCTGTGCTGGCTCCCCTGAAAAGACTTTAGATTCAAATATTCAATAGGCATTTTTAAAGGGCTAAAGAATTGGAAATCCATGGGCAACCGGTATGGGTAACACCAACAGTGTCCTGAAAGAATAAAGGGACTTTATATAGTTTTCCAATTATTACCACTCCCTTCTCTCCCTACCCCCTCTCCAAAAAATAAAAATAAAAAAATTCTTGGTTGTATAACAATAGCCAAGTGTTCGATATTTGTTTGCAGTTATAACAAGGATGGGCAGTGAATAAAGTTTTGAGGCTCCGTCTACTTCTGCAGCTAAATACTACATATTTATGGAAATACTTTGCAGACACGACCAACAGTACAAATTCTGTTTTCTCACCCCTTAGGATTGATTCGAGGGTGGCCACAGTCCTTTGTTCCTCCCTGTATCTGTCCACATCCCTTTACCGAATAACCCTGCACCCTCTCCCATCAAAAAGACTGCCAAGCCCTGGCCAGAGTTGCTCAGTGGTTGGAGCATCGGCCCGTGCATTGAAGGGTCTCAGGTTCAATTCCTGGTCAAGGGCACATACCTGGGTTGAGGGTCCCCTCCTCCCGCCCCAGCTGGAGTGCATGCGGGAGGCAACCAGTCCGTGTGGCTCTCTCATAGCGATGTTCTTCTCCTCCCCCCCTCCCTTCCACTCTCTCTGAAAGGCAATGGGAAAAATATCCTCAGGTGAGGATTAAAAAAAAAAAAAAAAAAAAAGCCCCCAA